TTATTATTCCTGATTGTAATATTAAAAGACACGCTGGAGTAATGGGTAGCAGCTTAGATTGAGAAATTGGAGTGCTGAGTTTGATTTCCAGTCGAATCCATTACATTCACTTACGTACTAATACTCTTAGGAAAGGTATGAATCCTCTTCTTCTCCTCCCCAGCCATGGGTAAATAGCAGGACAGACTGGGTTCTATAGCCTTGGAGGGCAAGTGATCTACTGTAGAAAGAAGTAGCTATCTATTGTGGGAAAAAGTTTGCCTTGTTAGTCATGTATCAAAAGATACATGATCACCTAAGTGTGTATCACACATGGTACATAACTGACTGATTTTACTTCAGCGTGTTCCAAAATATTGTTCTCATACTAATTATTATACATGTTATTACCAAATATAAAAAAAATATCAAAACCATTGTTATAAAATAAAATAAGACATATCTCAGCTGATTTACAGGCAAATACTCAAGAGCGATATCCGGATGTAAACAGGACAAAGCCCCGTCACAAAATGACCATTATCTTTCTTCACAAATGTTCCCAACACACGTGTTCCGGTCAAAAAATAAAATAATATTTAAAGTTTCTATTTTTTGTCCAATAAAAATGCTTCCCTCCTAATTATACTCGCTTCGTTTTTCGAGCCTGTTAAGCCATAAAAAAAACACTATAAAAGGGGTCACACGGAAGTTCAACAGGCAGTCCACAGGTGGCCAGGGAAGAGACCTGTCACGGTAAGCAGCTGTCCGCAAGGGAGCGTCAACCACCGTCAACATGTGTGAACTACTATGAGAGATCGACCTAGATCCGAAAGCCGGCTTATGAACTTTACCACAAGGTAGCTGTCCCAAACTCACATGTTCCTGTTGAAATAAACCACGTAAATCTATTTCTGCTGTTGCCGTATTTCTTTCTTGCAACCATACGCTTGTCTATAACACCATCTTACATTGGATTCAATGGCTTTAAAAACCCATTACTGATGTCCATCAGGATATGCGTTGTTTAAAATATACTATGGTTATGAGTTCAATCCTTGGATCATAAAGTAAAAGAATATTGCGTCAATAATGGTATTACATGGACCAAATAGCACAATATTTCCAATATCAGCCAAACAATGGGTAACTGAAGATGGCCGAAACGTTGTGATGAATATAGCGACAAAGATGAGGACAATAGTCCGAATAATGTAAATAATGTACATAATACCTCATCTCAGAAATATAGACAGACTCTAAAAGTACTTAGTATAATTAATAGAATAGAGAAGAAATGGAGATCTGTATAGTATAGTGGATAGATGAGAAATCAAAAACACCTAGACCTCACGTAACTTCCTCTATATATGCATTTCCACTATGATCATGTGATCGACCTAACTCATTAATGAGACTGCCTGTGTTTGTTTACACACAGTTGTCGGCAGCAACACTTTATTCTTACATAACACAACTGATTGGAGATCATTGTCAAGATCAGCTGCCCGTTTTACTTTGTTTGACCTATCGGACTTTATAATAAGACAGGAGTAAATAGTTATGTCATCAGCATGAAAACTTTGTTTGGGAACTGTTGACAACAGGAAGGACATTGATGAATTTAAGAAACTACACAGGTTCAAAGTGTGAGTCAAAGGATCACCCACATTAATTTGAAAAGACCTAGAAAGGATTCTTTACGACATTCATTACATGATTTGTTAAGAATAATTGGATAAATTCAAATATTTGGCCAGAGACACCATAGCGTTTGTGCTAGTGTCAAATAGTCATCCACTCCTCCAAATCCCACTCACCTCTGTGACTCCTGCTCATGACTCTTAAGGAGTAGGCTGGGCCTTCACTCCCATCTCTGTCACTGCCAACAAAGGTGAGAAAGAAAATTAGGAGAGAGGATGAGGAATCCGATTCTTGGATGCGAGTGGGTATCAATGAGTATAGTAAATGTTGTGTAAGTGTTGTTGTAGACAGTACAAAAGTTGCTAAAATTAGATATATTTTTAATTTCCAGATACGGCCAGTACATTATGGCCATGATTGTAATCAATGATAGCAAGGTTTGGTTTCTTTTTTTTAGAATAAGGGCTTCCCTTACATCTATATAGATACACACAAATATAGACTGTTTAGTTAGAATTTTGGGAAGGCTATGTGTGGGTTGGTGAGACTAATTTGGTTCCAGAGTACAGTCCTGACTCATTGTCCCATACAAAACTAGGCTCGCCTATCACCCAGTTCAAACTCCTCCCTTCTGATCTTTTGAACAGGAGTAGAGGTTCATCCCTAGTTCCCTGCTTAGGATTGGATTTCTGGTTTCTTCTAAACTCTTCTTCAAATTTATACTTCTAAAGTCTCCAACTGAACTCTGAAATCTTATTTACTAATTATTTTTTTCTTTTCTATTAATAGGAGCAGATACATTCAGGTATCATACAATTCACACTACCCACTAGTCTTTTGGACAGGAGTAGAGGTTTATCCCTTGTTTCAAGTTTAGGCTTCGGTTTCCAGTTCCTTCTAAAGTCTGCTTCAGCTCTGTACTGCCAATGTCCCTACCTGAACTCTGAAATTTTATTTACTAATTATTATTTTTAATTTTTATTTTATTCTTTTTTGTTAGTGGTCGTGACAAGGGAGCAAGAAATTGAAAGAGAGTTCCACAGGCAAGAGAAGAAACTATTAGAATAGAACTTATGGTTACATTTAGCTATTCCATGAGTAAAAGGATGAGACCTAAGTGCCAATCTAGTAATTTGCTTAATTTCATGTGGTTGAGTTACCAAGGCAGAGAGCTCGTTAAAACAATTGCTTTGAAAATATTTATAGAAAAAAAGAGAGAAGCAATGTTGTGGTGGTTAGAAAGTGACTGAAATCAAGATGCCAGGTAAGGACCAATAATATTACAGACCGTTCTTTGGATTTTTTCAAGAATCTTCAGATATATAACCAGAAGACCAGACCAAATATTGCAGCAATATTCAATGCACAAATGAATAGCAGATATATAAATGTGTAAGATGGATTCTGGAGAGAAAAATTGTCTGTCATAACACAGTGAACGAACATACTATTTATTTATTAAAGATATTTTTATATTTAGGTCGAATTTACTGCTTATAAACTTAAATTCGACCTTGCCTACCGAACGCTCCTTTGTGGCCGAGAGGTTAAGGCACGTCAGCTTAAATGACAGTTCCGTATAGGATGCAGGTTCGAATCCTGTCAAAGGACGAATATTTTCTATGAAAATTTCTCGGACATTCAGGCCGGTAAATGTTATTTAATACTGTTTATTATAAACAGAGCATTTACTTAAATACTTGTATCTATAAAAAAGAACGTTAAACATAAAAATGTCTTTAATAAATAAATTGTCGGACTTTGTCCATTTCTTAATATAGAACATACTATTATAATAAATGTCGTCAAAGTGTTATTGTAAATGGTATAAAAGTTGCTGAAAGGAGAGATATTTTTAATTTCCAAGTCTGGCCAATATATTGTGGTTATGTTCATCATTAATACAATTAAGGTATGATTTCTTGTTTTTATAATAAGAGCTACAATCAAATTTTAAATGCTTTTTGCAGTGGGAGATAAGTATTATATTAGTATATAATAAATGATGTGTATGTATTATGGCACTTAAATTCTAAAAGTCTAGGTATTATAACAAAAAGCTCATCTGAACAATTACCATTCAATATCTATAGAAAAAGGACAGAGAAGCAACCATATAGCAGTTGGAGAGTGACTGAAGCTGAACTGTCACATCAGGACTGATAATATTGCTGATTCTTCTTTGCATTTTATCAAGGAGCTTAAGGTACATAGCAAGGGCACCAGACCATATGTGGCAGCAATATTCTAAGTGTGGATGAATTGTAGATATGTATGATAGATTTTGAAAAGAAAAATTATCTGTCATAACATAGTGAATCAACATACTATGATAATAAATATTGTGTAAGTGTTATTGTAAATGGTGCAAAAGTTGCTGAAAGGGAGATATTTTTAATTTCCAAGTATGGCCAATATATTCTGGCCATGTTCTTCATTAATACTATTATGGTATGATATTTTGTTTTTATAATAAGAGCTTCCATCACTTTTAAACGCTTTTTGCTGAGGGGGATAAGCATTATATTCATCTTCTCAATGAGTATAATACACATTGAGGGCAATACAATTCCAGGCTTGTGCCCATATAGAGCTCTGATCAGAGAGATGGAGTGTCAGTCATCTTAAATAGATTTTGTGTGTTTATTTAACATAATTATTTATGTGTTTGTTTTTGTCAGGAATGCAGCTCTTTATGGAACATCAAAATTCATAAATAATATTATCATGGTATAGTTTTGATTTTGTCGGCAATGTAATATTTTGGTTAGGTTAGATGTTTGTAATTTTTTATAGCAAATAATTAATTTGATATTTTTAGTTTGTTCAACAGAAATGGTGAATTTTTTATGATATTTCATCCCATTTATTCAACAATTCCCGTATTTAAGAGGGATTGCTGTCCAAATACACAAGTATATACAATCATAAGTGTATTACTTAGAAAATGGAGGATGTAAATTTTTTCGTTTTCCTTAACATTGGATTTGATTTATGAAAGTCATTTGTAATCACAGAAGCAAGATAGTTTAATGTCAGAAAAATAGTTTTCAATATTAATTCAGTATAAAAAACTGCCTAAAAATTTGCTTGTAAAAGTCCTTCAGTGTGTGCTAAATTTTTATTCATTCTATCAACCAAAGATAGAAGCAATTTGGAAAAGTTTGTTTTGTTTGTTATTCATGTGTTTTATTTTTTTGGGTAACGTTTTCTTTCTTTAAAATATGTGTCTTGTCTCCTAGTAAGTGTGTCATCCAAAATATCTGGGTAAACTCGGTTTCATAGGAAAAAAGTAGTTTGCCTTCTGCTTACTAAAATATACTGACAATCATGGCCATCTGTCAATTGCAGGCACTTCATATCAACTTATTTAATACATGTGGTTTCATTCTTTCTGTCTTTCTTTTTTATTTCTCCTTTCTCAGCCATTTCATATCTATCTATCTATCTATCTATCTATCTATCTATCTATCTATCTATCTATCTATCTATCTCAGTCTGGTTATATCTATCTATTTATCTATCTCAGTCTGTTCATACCTATCTATCTCAATGTGTCCACATCTATCTATCTATCTATCTATCTATCTATCTTTTTTCTTTCCTCCTGTCATTGTCATTTCATATCTTTCTTTCTTAGTCTTTTGATATATGTCCTATCAATTTTCTCTCTGTGCACATTTTGCTCTCACTCCATCTCTCTCTCTCCCTCTCTCTCTCTCTCTCTATATATATATATATATATATATATATATATATATATCAATCTTTCTTTCTTTCTTATTTTCTTTCTTTCTGTTTGTATGTCTGTTCATGTCTCTGTCTGTCTGTCGCTCTCTCTCGCTGTCTACTGGTCTGTTCATCTGTCTGTCCAGCTAGCATTTTCTTTTTTTCTTTCTTTCTCTGTCATTTTCTATCTATCTATCTATCTATCTATCTATCTATCTATCTATCTATCTATCTATCTAAGTCTTTTCATAATTCACTATATCTATCTATTTCTTTCATTTTATCACTGTCATTTATCATCTATAGATTGATCATTCTTTCTTTTTACTGAATTTTTGATGTCTATCTATCTATCTATCTATCTATCTATTTTCTCTCTTTTTCTCTTTGTCTTTTTGTTTCTCTCCTATATATATATATATCTCTTCTTCTTTTTTTACTTTCTTTCTTTCTTTCTTTCTTTCTCTATTTATCTTGGCCTGTTCATATATCTAGGTAGCTATCATCTTCTTTCTTTCTTAGTTTGTTTATAACTCTTTCTTTCTCTCTCTCTATCTGTCTGTCAATATTTATTCATCAAATTTTATTATATAAGCTAATGTTTTCACAAGTAGATGTGTATCAAACAACTGATATTGGTAAAATTTCAGAACATACTTCTAGTCATCTGAACATTGCATCATGGGAGTTTCAGCTCCTATTAGTTATTATTAAACATATTGATAACAAATTGTTTGTGTTGTGTCAGCAAACAAGTGCAACTTAAATTTTCATTCATAAAATATCCAAACAATATGAAGCCATAGAACCATATTTGATTTTCCCAAAAACCCATATATGTGATTCAATTATTATTTTACTAGCTGACATAATAACATTGTTTCCTTGACATTTTATGACATTCATCCGACTTTTATTCATTGATTTTATCATTCCTACTGGTTTGTCTTTATGTGACAGAGTTTTTATTGCTTCCAAGAGATTTTCCCTGAAAATTCATTTCCATTCAGATAAAAATCTATGTTAATGCTGGACTAGAAGTTTTCTGTTGGATTAATATCAAGAGTCACATGGTACCATTCTATTAATTTGGTGTCATGGAAATTTTTCCAAGGTGCCTAATTGTCAGCCTTGATGAATATAAATGGTTATACGCTTTAACTTGAGACATCTTGGTTGCAAACTGTGCCACTCAAAAATACTTTGAGGTTTACAGCCACATCAAATTTAAACATCAGTTCCTGTACAATCACTGAAGTTAAGCAGCATCAAGCCAGGTCAGTACCTGGACTAGTGACCACTTGAAAATACCAAGTGCTGTAAGCTTGGATGTGCAGGTGTTGTAATGGATAATGGCTCAGAATTTTTAATTGAGGAGCCGAGTTCAAATTCCCATTGGATTCGTCATATTCACTTATGCACAAACAGCCTTGGGAAAGGCAAGAATCCTCCTCTTCTTCCCAGATTGAAGTCAGTTTGGAAAGCATGAAGTTGGAAAGGCATTCCTCAAGCAAGAATTGCTAGAAAAGACACTTTTATTGTAGAATTTATGGTTACATATAGACAACCTTAAATTGGTGAGACCTTCTTGCTAGTCTCATTTATTTATTTTAATGTGCCATGCATTATATACGCTTGGACGATCATGTATCTTTCAATACATGACTGACAAAGCAGATTTTTCCCCGCAATTAGTTGTCATTTCTTTCTGCATTAGATCAGTTGCCATCCAAGGCTATAGAACCTGGTCTGTCCTGCTATTTACCCATAGCTGGTGGGAGAAAAATATGATTCATACCTTTCCCAAGGGTATTAGCATGTAAGTGAATGTAATGGATTTGATGGGAATTTGAACTTGGCTCTCTGATTTCTTAATCCAAGCCACTATCCATTACTCCACCATGCCCGGTCTCATTAAATTCAAAGATACTAGGCATAATGGCAAAGCACTTATCCAAACAATTCACATGAAAGTATTTATAGAAAGGGTAAAAGCAGGCAAACTAATGGTGGTGGGAAAATAACTAAAGCTGAGATGCCAGATCAGGGGCTATAATATTGTTGATTCTTTTTGGGATTTTATCAAGGACCTCTAGATACATAGCAGGGACAACAGACCATGTGTGGCAACAATCTTCTAAGCATGGAGGAATATGACTTACTGATATTTAAGACAGACTCTGGAGAGAAAAGCCATTTAGCACGACATATATCAATGTTTTTAATTTCTTTTCTAATTGTTAATTGATCTCTGTTCAACTTTTCCCAATTTCCAACAAAAATTTCACCCATCACAAAATAACAGTACACCATTTTGTTTCTCTTTAGAGAATATTTTTTTCTTTACAACCCGATGATAATGATAATGGGAGTATAAGCTGTATCCTTATAAGGAAACATTTGACATACAACTCTTGGACAAAATTTACAAAAGATTCCTCTTAAAACAATTTTTCTAGAAAAATAGGTCCACAAGACTGTTAGTGTTTTTTTCAGGATTGATAGGGATTTCTTTTTGAAAGTGTGTGAAATGTCATCATCTTGATTAAAGTCATTAGGTAAATGTGCTATCCATTTTAGATGTTGCTGCTGTTGAGAGTCCTGAAGTGATGTGAATTCAGTTATTTCGCATGGTTCTTTGTTTGTGATACTGTAGCATCAATCCACAAAGTGGAAAGAAGTATGAACTTCACCAAAACCCATAGACTTCACTTGGCCAAAGCCACTTTCAGCCATTGATCTGGGAAATTAGTTGTATAATGTTGACAGTTTAGATATTTCTGAACAATTTTGTTACCATGTCTCACATCCATATGAACGTCTTGATCTCTCTTGATCTGACAAGTCTATTTAAGAATCATACAAAAAACAAATACAAAGGTTAATGATTTAATTGGCGAGAAATCCATCTTCGCGAACAATTCAAATAATATACAAAAACCCCGAACCTGTTTATGAATGAAAAGATCCTTGTCTTATAAATTTCCATATATATACATTTTTATATATATATACACATACATACATATATATATATATATATATATATATATATATATATATATATATATATATACATACATACATATATATATATATATATATACATACATGCATACATACATACACACACACACACACACATATATATATATATATATATATATATATATATATATATATACTGCATATACTGATGTAAAAAGTAACTTGTCATAGGCATATAAGATGAACCACAAATTTTTAAGTTAAAATGTAGGGTTCTGGCTATATTTGCTGTACAAGAAGCTCCCCCCCCAACCAAATTATATTTTAGAATGTACTGTATTGAATTTCTTGAATAAATTCTGTAAGCATATATTGTATTTTCACTCAAATTCTAATGAAAAATGTTGGTTAATTATTGTTGATTAACTACCACAATCTACAATACCTCATGAGTCAGTGCTGTTTTTTTGGCAGGCTATTATGGTAGCATGAATGACTTTTCCCTGGTAACCATCCACTCTTTCTATATGTGATCTTTATATGGCTTGTTGTGACACACATCCAGTTGTGTTTTGTTCAACATCATCGAAAAAAGGAAGTGAGATATTGGAAGAGAGATAGTGTGTGACAATGGTTTGAGATTTCTCTCTTGATATATATGCATTTTATTGTTTTTTGCAAACCTACCACATATTAAATAAGGTAAGATTACTTTTATTACACTACACATTTATTGTTTTATTATAATAATGTGAATTAAGTTACCAATGCAGGTGTTAGCCTAAACTCAAAAATCTCTCATGCTGACAACTTACTACAAGATTTAAGGTTTACATGTTATATCTGGAGTATAAGATGTACTCCTACTACTGGGTTGGGGGATTTTTTAAGGTTAAAATGTCACCTTGAACATATATATATATATATATATATATATATATCAGGTCACCCCATAAGTTCTGTCCGAATTTTAACTTTTTGTTAAAATGAACAAAATTTAAAGAGTATTTTATAATATCTAATGGAGCTGAACATTATTTTTATGTTTAGATGCATTTAAACTGATCAAATTTTATTTCAGAGGACAATAAAATTAAATTTTGTTTGATTAAAACCCTGCTAACATGGAAGTACCCAAGAATCATTTGAGGTACATAATGCTTTATGAGTACACAAAAGGAAACTCATCAGCCGAAGCGGCTAGAAACATTCACTCAGTTTATGGAGAGGAATGTGTGAATGAAAGAACTTGCAGAAGATGGTTTGCAAAATTCAGAGGTGGAGATTTCACCCTTGAAAATGAAGATCGAACCAGACGTCTAGTTGAGTTTTCTGAAAAGCTTTGTGAAGCAGCCCTGCTTTATCAGTTGAGGAACTGGCAGTGGTTCTCAGTTCAAACCATACAACTGTTCATCGTCATCTTCAACAACTTGGAAAAGTTCCTAAACTTGGAAAATGGGTGCCTCATGAATTGTCTGAAAACAACCTCAAATCCCGAGTTGATATCTGCTCTTCTCTCCATTCTCGCCAACTTGTTTCTCCTTTTTTGGATAGACTTTTGACTGGCAACGAAAAATGGATCTTTTATCGAAATGTTAAGAGTCGTAGACAGTGGCTTGGTAAAGGGGAAGGACCCCAGCCACAGCCAAGAAGGGAACTTCATGGGCAAAAGGTTCTTCTTTCAATCTGGTGGGATCGCCAAGGAATAATCCACCTTGAATTCTTACCACCTAATGCAACAATTAATGCTCAAATATACTGTCAGCAATTAGAGCGTTTGAACCAAGCTTTGAGGAAAAAAAGACCTGCTCTAGTGAATCAAAAAGGGGTGATGTTTTATCAGTACAATGCACGACCCCACACAGCAAGAATCACGTCACAAAAGATCGAAGAACTTGGTTGGGAGAAAATTCCTCATCCACCTTATTCTCCCAATCTTGCTCCTTCAGACTACCATTTGTTTCGTAGCTTACAGAATTATTTGGAAGAAACAGCTTTTGTAACACAGGAAGAGGTTAAAACTGACATTTGTGAGTTCTTCGAATCAAAGCCTAAAGAATTTTACAGTAATGGAATTAGTAAGCTTGTTAATAGGTGGAAAGAAGTCATAGATAATCAGGGAAAATACATTGTTGATTGAATCTGTAATTAAATGTAACATTTGGTCATTTGTTTTCTTTATTCAAAATTCAGACAGAACTTATAGGATGACCTGATATATATATATATATATATATATATATATATATATATATATATATATATATATATATATATTATATATATATATATAATATGTGGTGCAGTTCAATTTATATTACAT